CAAGTTGGGTGTGATGGCACATGCCTTTAATTCCAATACTTGGGAGGTAGAGGTAGGCAGTTTTCTGGGAGTTCAAGGATGGCCTGGTTGGTCTACAGAGTGAGTTCCAAGCCAGCTAGGACTTCAAGCCAGCTAAGACTCTGCCTCAAAAAACAACAAAACAAAACAAGCAAACAAACAAACAAAAAACAGGGCCAGCAAGACCTCACCTCAGTTCAATCCCCAGGGCTTACATGGTGGAAGGAGAGAATAGATTCCCAAAAGTTGTCCTCTGACCTCCATACACATAAAATAAAAAATTTTAAATGTAGTTAAGGCCAGGTGTGGTACCACATGACTTTAATCTCAGACTTGGAAAGCAGAGGCAGGTGGATTTCTGTGAGTTCCAGGCCAGCCTAGACAGTGAGACCCTATCTCAAAAAAAAAAAAACAACAAAAAAAAACCCTCCTTTATAAATCAAGCACAGGCCCAGATTGAGGCATGGGCTATAGTTAGTCAACTCCTGGTTTATGGGACATGAGTGTGTGTGTAGCTGACTTAGATGTCTGTGGATGCATGTGTCAAGAGTATGAACTTTAAACATACTCCCACCCACCTCTCATCTGCATACATGAAGTCAGTGGGCATGCTGGGGATGTGTCTCAGTTGGTAGATTGCTTTACCTAGCACATACAGGCCTGGGTTCCATTCTCAGCACTGCATGAACTGGGCATGGTAGGGCATACCTGTCATCCCAACAGTCCAGAGGTGGAGGCAGGAGGGTTAGAAGTTCAAGCTCATCTTTGATTGCATATCAAATTTTGAGGCCAGCCTGGGCTACAATGACACAGTTTCAAAAAAAAAAAAAAGTGGGTGGCAGGGCTAGAGAGATGGCTCAGAGATGGCTCACAGATGGCTCGGTTAAGAGCACTGGCTGTTTCCAGCACCCATATGGCAGCTAATAACTGTCATAACTCCAGTTCCAGGGGATCCAATGCCCTCCTCTGGCCTCTGCAGGCATTGCAGGCACTTAGTACATTTACATCCATACAGGCAAAATACTCATACACATAAAAGAAAATTGGTAGACATGTAAGAATGCTTAGCTTGGTCATGTAGGCACCTTTTCTTATATAGATGTATACGTACACACATGTTCAACAGAACGTGCAGGACAGGTGTCAATGAATATACTGGCTTGAGTGGATAAATGCAGCTTCGTGTATGTATGTGTGTGCATACATGTGCATACATTCTACCTATGTAAGAACCTAAGGGAACAAGTATACATGGGGAATGGGTGTGCACATATAAAAGTGTCCCCTTCTACTCATGGGGATCAGGTATACACATATTAAGTGCCCCCTCCACCCACACATTTCCTGGTGTGGTTGCATGTGTAACTATGCACCAGCTGGTGTCCCTCCTGTATGCATCTATTTGTGTGATGTAACATATGAGCACATAGTTGTATTTTATTTATTTTGAGACAGTCTCAAGTAGCCCAGGCTGGTCTTGAACTTACTATGTGGCTGAAAATGGCCTTGAAGTCCTGATCCTCCTGCCTTCACCTGCTGAGTGCTGGGATGATAACCACCACCCCTGAGTTTACATGAGGGATGGCACTCAAGACTTTGTCCATGCCAGGCAAAAACTCTACCAACTGAGCTATATCCCCAGCCCCAATTTTTGAGACAACGTCTCATGTAGCACAGGCTAGTTTCAAAATCACTGTGTAGCTGAGGATAGTCCTGAACTTGTGATCGCCCTGCTTCTACCTAGCAAGGTGAGTGACACTGTGGCCAAGGTATGTGTTTGAAATGCATGCAATTCTGTTCACAGGAACACCCTCCTATCTGTGTGCTTGAGTGTATGCATGCACATGTGTAAGTCTGCATGTGTCCTCCAGAGCCTGTTCAGATGTTCCTGTTCATTTGAGTCTACATGTGCATAAGTCAGCATACACATGGCGGGCAGCCACTTGCCTGGCAGGTTGTTGATGTAGCCGCCGTCCATGAGCAGGTGCCCATCCTTCGGGTCGCACAGCGGGGGCAGGTAGCCAGAGAGCGTCATGCTGGCACGCACATAGCGCCACAGTGAGCCTGCCCAGTGGGACACACAGACACAGACACACAGACACACTCAGACACGCTCAGAGGCCCAGCCAGCCTGTGGGCTCGCTGACCTGGAACGTTGTTAATGTAACACCCATCCACCAGCAGGTGCCCGTCCTTGGGGTCGCAGAGTGGGGGCAGGTAGGGACAGTAGGAGGCACTGGCCCGGACGTAACGCCATACACAGCCTGTGGGGGACGGCGGGAGGGGGTAAGGTGCCTGACAAGCCTCCTGGCTCCCCACCCCTGAAGACAGACATACCTGGGACCTTTCAGGACATTAGTGGGTGACAGTTAGTGGTCAGTAGACGGGCCGGGGTGGACGGTCAATCATGTTAACAACGTCCCAGACGTTCAGCTGCCCCTCCCCTACAACCCACCCCAACACAGCTGGCCACAGCAATTGTAGCCAGGGCCAGGCAGGATAGCACCCACCATCTTTATGGACACGCATGGCTGAAGCAGTAATGTCTGTGGTGACGTTGAAGTAAGGCAGCCATAGGTCCTGTGGGGGTAAAGACCAAGATAGAGGAAGGTGGAAAACACTTGTGGGAAGAGGTGGGCAGGGCTGGGTTGGGGGATGGGCATACCTCGATCTGTTTATCCTGGAAAACACGGTGGATACTGCGGTTAAAGGCTGAGCCCGTGAACATGGAGGTGACTGGGTATGTGAGGTCCAATACAGGCTCCAGGACAGAAGTCATACCCTAGGGACAAGGGGATGTCTCTTAGGTCTGGAGAGATGACTCCTCGGTTAAGAGCAATGGCTGCTCTTGCAGAGGACCCAGGTTCAGTTCTCAGCACACACGTGTCATCTGTTACTCCAATTCCAGGAGATCCAATGCCCTCTTCTGGTCCCCATGGGCACTGTATGACATGGAGATACTTACATACATGCAGGCAAAACACCATAGACATAAAATAAAAATTAAAGTTGTCCCTTAAGGCCACAAAGACATCAGTCACCATGGGACATGCAAGAACACACCCACAACGGGGATTGCTATAGCTGGGATCAGGGGCTAGGGCTTTTAATAAAGAAGTCACAGAGGAGTTATTCAAGGTCCAAGGATAGGTCTATAAGGATTTAGGCAGACTCTCCTGAGTACCTGAGTACCTAGTCCCACTTCTTGGTCCGGTTATAGCATAGTCATGGGTATCCTTGTACTTCTAGGATCCTTGCACTGCACCCCTGGCCCCCCACCTTCACAAAACACATACCTTGGCCCATTCCCGGGCCCGCTGTTTCGTTCTGCTGGCGCTGCGTTCCTCTGCATACAGGGCCCCGATGAAGGAGCCGATAGATGTGCCACCCACAAGGTCGACTGGTACCCCTGCCTCTTCTAATGCCTTCAGCACCCCAATATGTGAGCAGCCTCTGTGGAAAGGAGGGGACCCAGGGACAATCTGGAAGGCCACTTAGACCCTACTCCAGAAATTCTCCTGCTTCCACCTCCCCCTTTCCCCCTTTCTTCATAGCTGAGGAACCAGTGGGGTCTCTCCCAGGGAGTAAGCTCCACTCCTTGGGCACCCTGGCCCCACCCCATAGGATGCCCAGGGAAAGAAAGTCCCGCCTTTAAGATGGCCCCACCCCTTACCTGGCTCCGCCCCCACCCAGCACCAAGGCAATAGTGTTTCCTGTGAGGACTCGAGCCAACCGTGAAAAGTCGCTGTGCCGGTCGGCACGCCTGGAGAAAACCTTTTCATATAGCTCGTGCTGGGAATCAGGGAGAGGACAGAGATCCATTAGGCTGGGGTGATGGGGGCCAGACCTAAGGGATTCCTAGCCACAGCCTGAATTTTGCTACCCTATACCCCACTACTGGTCCAGACATTGCCCCAGTTCCCCAAGTTCTGCCCCTAGACAGATGAAGGTATGCTTTCCGGGGGTCCCTCACCAGGCACTCCCTGAACCCTGGTCTCCCAAGCAAAGGAGGGAATACTCCTAAACCTCAACCACAGGCAGATGAGGGCGTGCCTCCCAGGACCCCTCCAGGCCACAGTCCTCACCAGTTTAGCAGGGCTGCGGCGGGAAAAAAGGCGGCGAGGACAGCGTAGATGCAGGTGCCCTGAGCACCAACTGCGCATGTTGAGCCACTCTACGGTGCGTGTGGGGCCCGGGCCTTCCTCTCGGTGTAGTAAGACCAGCTGCTTTAGGGCTCGCACGGCCGTGTTCTCCAGCATCTGCTCCAGCTGTGGAAGACCAAGACACCGGAGGTCACTGATATCTTCCCAACCCCCACCTGGCCAAGCTCAGGTCCCTGATGATACAGCTGCATGGTGAGTGTGGGTGCACGTGGTCTGATGATGCAGGTGCAGGAGGGCAAGGGATGGGATCCTTAAGGATAGGGTGAAGGTCACTGTACACAGCCTCCAGACCTGGCCAACTGTGGGTTCCTGGTCACCCAGGCCCACAATGAGGATGCAGTCGGCCTGGCGCAGGCAGCGCACGGTCCAGGGTGTCAGCGAGGTATCTGTTTGGTAGAGGACTATGCGATGTGCATCTTCCTGCTGGGCCAGCCACCCTGATAGCCGGAACTCTTGGATGCTGGGATGAGACAAGGGAATGGTCATCTTGGAGCTGGCCTGGGGCCCTGCAACCTCTCCCCATACACCAATCTATTGCCAGGAGGGGTTTAGATATCCAGGCCCCAATAATGGCAGTTCAAGCCACAGCAGAGCTGTGAAGCAGGGGACCCAGGGATTACAAAACATATATGTTTATTTATGCATGATGTCATACTTGTTTATTTTGCATGATGCCATACATGTTTATTCTGTATGGTGTTAGGACACAACTTTATCATCTACAGAGCTCATGCTTAAGAACTGCAGTTACGCTGGGTGTGGTGGCACAGGCCTTTAATCCCAGCACCTGGGAAGCAGAAGCAGGTGATCTCTGTGAGATAGAGGCCCAGCTGGGGCTACAGAGAGACCCCAGATACTCATGACTGGAGAGATGGCTTAGCAGTAAACAGCACTGGCTGCTCTTGCAGAGGACCTGGGTTCGGTTCCCACCACCCACATGGTGGCTAACAACTATCTGTAACTCCAGTTCTGGCATCCATGGGTTTGCCCAAATGTGATGCAAGTACATACATGCAGACAAAACACTCATACACATTTAAAAAACAAATAAATGTATAATCAAGTTAAAAAATTGCAAAAAGAAGATGTTTTCAGTAAATTTACAATTTTGTGTTGGGCTACGTTCGTAGCTGCCCTGGGCTGCATACAACCCCTGGGTTTCCAGTTGGACACCCTTGTTGGGGGGGTATTCACCCCACTGTCTCCTAACTGACCCAGAGAGTAGCATTCCAACCCAATCTGAAAGAATCTCGTATATAGACTTTCCACCCTCGATGCCCACTCCCAAACACAACACAAACCTATCTAACACAGAGGCCCCCAGGCGCGCCCGGATGATGTCACTGTTCAGGAGGAGTGTGGGACCTGGTAGTGGATGAGGAAGTGAAGTTAGGACCCTAGAGGAACACTGAGGGGTAAGGGAAGCCTTTCCCAAAACAGAATATTCATCACCCATCCCGGTGGCCTGGGACCCTCTTCTATCTCACCTCCCACTTCCCCACTTACAAAGGCACAGTGCATATACACACTTCCACCTGCCAGACTGATAGTCAGCCCAATGCCCCCTGGCTGCCCACACCCTTGCCCCTTCTTCCTGCTGACCAATGGCTTGCAGAGCATGCTGCAGTTCCAGGGTGAAGGCCATCATGGGGACCTCGGCACACACGGGGAGGATGGCCACAGTGGACAGGTTGCTGGCTGGGTTGGTGAGTTCTGAGTGTTGCGGGACACTGAGTCCAGAGCCTGCTGAGACCCCAAAGGATGATCTGCTGAGCAACCCAGTGTCTACCTACAACCCATGTAGGTAGACAGCTGCCTCCTACAGGTCCTCCTCCCCCCCTACTCCTCTTTCTGCTCATCCTCTGTCTCCTCCTCCACAGGGTTTAGGGAATGGGCATGGAGTCTAGGAGCCCCTCCACCTCTTATGCTACTTCGTCTTACGTTTCCTCTGCCTCCACCTCCTCTTCTTCCTCTCTCCACCTTTTCTCCTTCTTCCCCCTTATCCTCTACCATCCCTTCTTCTTCCTCCCCCATCTCTTCCATTTTCTCTCTGCTTCCTCTTTATCCTCCGATACCTTCTCTCCTTCCTTGTCCTGCCCTACCTCCCACTACCTCTATTCTTCCTCTTCTTCTTCCTCCCCCCTTTCATCCAAGCTCTTTTTTTTTTTTTTTTTTTTTAAAGTAAGGTCTCCCTGTAGTCCCAGCTGTCCTGGAACTCACTATGTAGACCAGGATGACCTTGATTTCACTGAGATCCGCCTGTCTCTACCTCCCAAGTGCTGGGATTAAAGGTGTTATATTGAGTAGCAAGTCCTCAGACAGGAACCAATCAACCTCCGGGTTTAAGAATCCACCCCACTTGGTGTGGTGGCACACACCTTTAAAACAGCACTTGAGAGGCAGAGACAGGTGGATCTCTATGAGATCCAGGCCAGCCTGGTCTACACAATGAGTTCCAGGCCAGCTAGGGCTACAAGGAGACCCTGTCCTCCATTTCTGCCCCCGCTCCAAAAGAGACAAAAAGAAAAGTAAAAAGAAAAAGTGAATCTACTCCCTTGGGCAAGCCACAAGGCTCAGTTCAGGAACGTGCTTTTTGCCAAGCCTGACTACCAGGTTCAATCTCTGGGATCACCATAGTGGAAGGAGAAAACCGTTATTTGCAAGTTGACCCCTTACCCCTACACACACATATACACCAAATAAATGGCCGGGTGTGGTGGTGCACGCCTTTAGTCCCAGGGCTGGGGAGACAGAGGCAGGCAGATCTCTCTGAGTTCCTGGGGAGATCAGCCTGGTCTACATAGTAAGTCCCAGGCCAGCTGGGGCTATAGGGAGGCCCTGTCTCAAAAAGACAAAAAAAAAAGACTCTCTCAAGGAGACACTTTTAAGGCCATCAAAATCAAACAGGGGGTTCTGCGACTAGGACTCCATTTCCCAGCATGCACCAGACCTCTGACTGCCACTAACCCCGCCCCCAGCAAGATTACAGCCGAACTCTATTTCCCAGGAAGCTTTAGGAGCTAGCGCTTCCACCTACAAAGCGTGTTTTTGGCGCCAGACTATTACCGCACCCCATACCCACATACCCCCCGCCCCGCATGCTCCGGTGCCCACAGGCTTTCACCTGGGAAGGGTCCCTGCAGCTGCTGCAGATTGCCTAGAATTTTCTGGCTCAGCAGGTGGATGAGTCGAGTTACGACCTGGGGAACCATGGAGAATGGTGTTCAGTCAGACAATAGCGATTGTGTGAGTCTCACTTTGCATTCCTCCACCCTGGGAGGCTTGGGGATCCTTTACCTGGGCCCCGCCACTGTGTAGCCCCGCCCCTACTCCCAACCGCCTGGTCCAAGTAGAGATGCACCTGTGGGTACCGACGTTTGATGTGGCCTAAGGTGCCCTCCGGGAGTTTGGCCAGCTCCGTGTCGCGCACCGCGTGCACCGTGGTGGCTCGGGGCTGCCGGGTGAGCGCCTCCACCTGGGATGGAAAACAGGAATTCCATGGGATTGATTGCCCTAGACCCACAGGAAGGAGCCAGGGAAGTGGCCTGTGTGGAAGCTGAGGGTTGCATTCCCCACGCCCATCAAATGACCGTGGATGATGTGCGTTTGGAGGGAGGGGGAGACTTCGCTTGGAATGAACAGAGGTCAGTGTGTGCGTGCGTGTGTGTGGTGGCAGGGAGCTGTGTGTGTGTGTGTGTGTGTGTGTGTGTGCGTGTGTGGTGGCAGGGAGCTGGCTGCCCTTACCACACCGATGAGGTCCCCACGGCCATACTCTCCCACTAGCTCCTTCTTGCCACTGCCTCGTTGGATGACACTGCGGAGCCGCCCATTGAGCACGATGTAGGTGCAGTCAGAGCGGTCACCCTGCCTGGGGTTGGGGGGAGAGTGCATGTTGGGTGTGGGAGAGCAAAAGCCAGGCAAAGTCCAGACCTTGTAGGTAGAGTCTGAGGAGTCAGGTGGGATCAAGGGGTTGCACCTGTAAAGTGCACGACCGGCCTCCACAGCTGTCCAGTCTATGGCAAAGTCCATCTGGCGCACGAAGGGCGACATCCTGGCGGCCACTGTGTGCGCCGCGCTCAGCACCACACTGGGCTGTGCACGCATGATCCTGCAAGCGAAAAGATGGTATGTGTAAGCCAGGGACCTCGTGGAACTGCCCACAAGGAGGGAAGAAAGTGGGTGTCTGCTTCTAAGTTAAATAGGAAGGACTCAAAACTGCTTCGTCGCGGGGCATGGGGAGGAAGAGGCAAACGGATCTCTGTGAGATAGAATCCAGCCTGGTCTACTAGCGAGTTCCAGGCCAGCTATGCTACATAACGAGACTATCTCAAAAAAAATTATCTGGGGGTTCCTTCCTGTCCTTCTAGAAGTCGAGTAGTGGGCTTCTAGAAGTCGAGTAGTGGGCAGAAAGGAACTGTCACACCCACCCCATCCCAGTCCTACTCGTAGAAGTCGGATTTGGAGATCCTCAGGAAGGTGCAGTCCCTCTGGGCACGTAGTGTGAAGATGAGGGGTTCCCCGGTGAGTACTGCCAGCTGCCCCACCAGCTCCCCAGGCTGCGCCACGAAGAGGCACACTTCCTCCGCCTTGTCGATCATGCGCTGGTAAACGTGCAGGCAGCCCCAGAGAACGAAGTGCAAGCTCACATCCTGTTAGGACCAGAGCTGGAAAATGAGAGGAGCCAGCAACAACTCCCTTCCCCAAACTCAAGTTGGTGTGCCTCACAGGAAAAATGAAAGGAGGAAAAGTGAACCAGGACAGCTGTAGCTCCATTGGGAGAATGCTTGCCTAGTTTAGCAAGCACTAGGCCCTGGGTTTGAGTCCTACCACCAGATTACAGGTGTGATATGTACACCTGTAATCCCAGCACTCAGGAGATAGAGTCAGGAGGAAGGGGGAAGAGAGAGGATTCAAGGTCATCCTGGGCTACATAGCAAGTTGGAGGTCACCCAACTATTTGAGATCCTAGCTCAATAGCAACAACAAAAGTGAGAAACAGGTATGGTGGAATGCCTGTAATCCCAGTACTTGGAAGGCTGTGGCAGGTATGGTGGAATGCCTGTAATCCCAGTACTTGGAAGGCTGTGGCAGGTATGGTGGAATGCCTGTATAATCCCAGTACTTGGAAGGCTGCGGCAAGGAGTATTGCTTGAGTGTGAAGTCAACCAGAGCTGCATAACAAAAATAAAATGGAAGCGCCTGCCTTTAATCCTAGCACTCTTGAGGTAGAGGTAGGTGGATCTCTGTGAGACTGAAGCCAGCCTGGTCTACACAGGGAGTTCTGGGCCACCTGGGGCTACAGGGAGACATTGTCTAAAATAGAATAAAATAATAAAATGGAATAAAAGTGCTGGGCTGGGTGTGGTGGTGCATGCTTTTAATCTCAGCACTTGGGAGGCAGAGGCAGGTGGATCTCTATGCGTTCGAAACCAGCCTGGTCTATATAGCAAGTTCCAGGCCAGATGGAGCTACAGGGAGACCCTGTCTCAAAAAGAAAAGGAAAAAAAAAGTGCTGGGCAGGTGGCACAGGCCTTTAGTCCCTGAGTTCCAGGCGGTTGAGCTTGGCGAGTTCCAGGCCAGCCTGGTCTACATGGTAGTTCTAAGTCAGCCACAGCTACATAGTGAGACCTGTCTCAAAAAACCGTAAATTAAATAAAAACTAAAAGTAAAATAAATGGAACACAATTAAAATGGCTGAGATGTAGCTAGTTGGCAGAGCACTTGCCTAGCATTTACAAGGTCCTGCATTTGATTCCCAGCACCACATAAACTGGACATAGTGGTGCATGCCTGTAATCCTAGCACTTGGGAAGGAGAGGCAAGAAGATCAGAAACTCAGCTATGTGCCAGTTCAAGACTAGCCTGGGCTACATGAGACCCTGTCATAATTTAAAATGTAGCTCACATGGTAGCATGCTTGCCTAGCAGAGAGAAAAACCTCAATCTCCAGCACCATATACACATGACCAGTGTAGGGGCACACACCTGTCATCCCAGCACTCTGGAAATGCAAAAATAGAGGGGCTCAGCAGTTAAGCACATTGGCTGCTCTTGCAGAGGACCTGGGTTCTGTTCCCAGCACCCACAGGACAGCTGACACACCCTCTACTAGCCTCTTGGGGCACATGGTAATACACTTACATACATTCATGCAAAACATTCATACACATAAAATAAAAATAAACAAAACAAAACAAAACACAAAAGCAGGGAAAGAAGTTAAAGACTGGACATGAGTGATTAGTCTTTTCTTAGTGTTCACCATAATTGTTCCAGGGACACCCTGTGGATACCAAAATCCATGATGCTTAAGTTACCTGGACAAAATGGTGCTGGATTTGCATCCAACCTGTACACACACCCTCCTGTAGAACTTTAAACCATTTCTAGATGACTTAGAATCCCTCAAACTATGTAAATAGTATGTAAATAATTGTCATACTGCATTCTTGTGCCTGTTTAGCACCAACACAGCTATCATAGGACTAATTATGCTTTTGGTCCTTGTTTGTTCAATCCATGAATGCAGAGTTTGCTAGCAGAAACCTGAGTCTGCAACCAGGACAGACATTGCTAATGGATCACCAGATTAAGACCCATGAATTCTTTTCAAAACATCTCTCAGGAGCCTACAAGACCTATATACATCCAGGTGTGTCAATAGATGTTTGTAATCTCAGCACTTAGGTTGAGGCAGGAGGATTGGGAGTTCAAGGCCTGCTTCATTTACCTATCAAGTTCGAGGTCAGTGTGGGCTACAAGAGACCCTGTCTCAAAATATAAAAACAGTCTGGAGAGAATAAGAGTATTGGCTGATCTTATAGAGGACCCGGGTTCAGTTCCGAGCATCCATACGGCAGTTTACAACTGTAACTCCAGTTCCAAGGGAACTGATGCCCTCTTCTGGCCTCCATGGCATTGCACAACTGGGATACACTTAAGTTCATGCAGGCAAAACACGCATACACATAAAGAACAAAAACAAAATAAGTTAAGTTTGTGGAGTCAATTAGTGATTGCTGGAGACTGAGGTGTGAGGTTGATAGTTAACGGAATGGGATTTCTTTTCAAGATGATGCACATTCCAAAATTGATCGCACAACTCTGCAAATGTACAAAAACCTAACAAAGCATACACTTTAAATGGACAAACTGTATACATTGTAAATTACCTCTCAATAATGTGACCTACTTCTTAAAAAGATCCCTTTGGGGATGACAAGATGGCTCAGCAGGTAAAAGTGCCTACCACCAAGTCTGGTGACCTGAGTCTGATCCCCAGGACCCACACTATGGAAGGAGAGAACCAGCTCCCAAAAGTTGTCTTAGAACTTCCACACACACACTATTGGCCGTGCTCACCCCCACACATAATAAATGTAAGAATGAAAAAGAAACTCCTGGCCATACACATGCTAGGCATTCTTTCACCCCAAGACTTTTGCACAACCTCCTGACTCCTCTCTGACCTTGCCTCCAGTTACACCCAGTTAATTGTTCCCCACCCTTCCTCCTTAGCTGGTGATCACTTCCCCAGAGGTGCTGCCCTGTTTAAGCCAGTCGTTGAGCCTGCCCTTTGTACTATTGAGCCCTCTGAGTTTATGAGGACTTGTATGCTCCTTTGAGTCATGTCCCCCAGGACTGCAGGCTGCCCAGCAGCTGGGCCCATACTGGTTTTTCTTGCCTCTTGGTATAGCAGGCAGCACAGGATCTGGAACACAGCAGATGCTCTGGAAATGGATGTTAGCCTTACCAACCTGAACACATTCTTGCCCTTTATAAATCTGGAACTGGATGGGCCCCAAGATGAGGGAATCCTCTCCGACCTGCCATGCCAACCTGTCTGAGGTTGGACAACAAACCAATATGATGAGGGGCTAGGTTGAGTATACACATGTACAGGTGCCAGAACCTTCTAAGAAAATTTCCAGGTTGTGTTTGGGATCAGGCTGCCATGTTATTAGATTAGGAATACTTGTGCATGAAAATGTGTATATCTGCATATAAAAACCAGAGGACAACCTCAACTATCATTGCTTAGGAGCGCCCCTTGTTTTAGGCTTTTTAGGTTTGTAAAAGATTTTATCTTTATTTTATGTGTAAGTGTTTTGTCTGCATGACTATAAGTACACCCATGTGTGCAATTCTCAAGGACAGAAGACATCTGATTCCCTGGAACTGGAGTTCACATGGTTGTTAGCTACTATGTGAGTGCTGGGAACCGAACGCAGGTCCTCTGTGAGAGCAGCCAGTGCTTTTAACCATCGAGTCATCTTTCTAGCCCCTATTTTTTGTTTTTGTTTTTTTTGAGATAGGGGTCTCACTATAAAGCCCATTGCATCTAGCAGTTAGTTTTGAAACGGTCTCACTATGTAGCCTTGGCTGGCCTGGAACTCACTCACAGAGAGTGTCTCCAAGTGCTGTGTCTCCAAGTGCTGGGATGGAGTCAGGTTGCCAGGCTTAGCAGCAAGCCCCTTTACCCCCTAAGCCATATGACTGGCCCTGTGCTTCTTAACTGGAAGTGGTTTTGCCCTCCAGGGTGCTAGAATGCCCAGCGCAGTGCAAGGCTGAAGTATCAAAATAGTGTCAACACTAAGAAACCTAACTGTACACAGCACCCCCCCAAGTAGGTTTCATGCACCATCTCTAAGGCTCAGTGTCTCTAATCTGAAAATCCCAAATACATATGCTATAAAATCTGAAACTGTTTGGGTATCAACAAGATACAAGTAGGAAATTCCACACCTGACCTTGTGGGAGAGGTTGCATTCAAAACAAGAGGCCAGGCGCACACCTTTAATCCCAGCACTCAGAGGCAGAGACAGGTGGATCTCTGTGAATTCAAGGCCAGCCTGGTCTACATTGCAACTTCCAGGCCAGCTGGAGCTACAGGGAGACCCTATCTCAAAAAAGACAAACAACAACAACAACAAAAAAGGAGGCAGTAAAAATAGTCCATAAAATTACCTTTAAGGGGGTTGATGGCATAGTTGGTAAAGTGCTTATTTTGCAAGTGCAATGACAGGAGTTTGAATCCCCAAACATAGTGGTGCTGCGAGCTTTTAATTTCTGATACCCACATGGTTAGTGGAAGGAGAAAACTGACTCTCTACAAATTGTACTCTGACCTCCATATACACACATACACATAAATAAATGTAATTTTTTGAGGGGGGTCTTTTGTGGAAACGAGGTCTCCCTGCTGACCTGGAATTCGCTATGTAGACCAGGCTGGCCTTGAACTCACAGAGATCCACCCTCCTCTGCCTCTCAAGTGCTAGGATTAAAAGTGTACGCCACCACACGCAGCCAATAAATGTAATTTAAAAAATTATTTTTAAAGCAGCACTGAGGCTGGAGAGATGCCTCAGAACTTAAGGGCACTGGCTGCTCTTGCAGAGGACCTGGGTTTGGCTCCCAGCACCCACATGGTGGCTAACAAACATCCTTAACTCCAGTTCCAGGGGATCTGATACCATCTCTGGCCTCCATAGGTACTGCATGCATGTGGTGAACTTACACACACACACACACACACAGGCAAAACACTCACGCATATAAAATTAAAAGCAGCACTGTATGGAATATTAGAGACAGAACATCACAGCAGTCCCAAGTGAAACCGGGAAGACCCCTCCACACACACCTGCAAGGCCTTGAGGGGCTGTAGACCAGCCGCTTTGGTAGGCCAGGCCAGGGCTGGGTTCAGCTCAACAGTCTTCCAGATAAGCAAGACCCAGGGGCCTCTGCAAAGTCCTGTTACCACACTTCCTCAGCTCATCCCCTCAGGACCATGCATGGCTGGTATTAGCCTCATCTAATTTCCTCTCCAAAAGGAGCCAATGGCTGAAGAGATGGCAGCTGATCCACCCACCTAGTCAAGTGACAGGACCTCTCAGTAGCTGGAAGGGATGATGCTTCACTGGCCCCACCACTCCAGCCCAAGCCTCTCACCACTTCTATCTCATCACTGGCTTCAACTATCACCAGAGACCCCACAGCACTGTGAGGTGCTGCTAATCTTTCCTAGGCCATCACCTTTCCTAGCCCATTTTATGCAAAGGGCTGGTTGTTTCTATTTATTACCTCCAATGCCTCAGGTTGAGGAAGCTGAGAACTTTCTAGAATCTTTGCCCAAGGTCATATAACAAGTTTGGGAAAAGTGTAGAAACTCATTCAGGGGCTGGGGAGATGGCTCTATGGAAAGCACTTGCCACTAAAGTGAGAGAAATAGAGTTCAGGTCCCTGTGTGTGAGTGCTTTGCCTGCATGTATGTAAGTCCACCATGTGTGTACATTGCCTGTAGAAGATGGCACTGAATCCCCTAGAATTGGGAGTTATAGATGGTTGTTTGCCATCATGTGGGTGCTGGGAACCGAACCCAGGTCCTTTGCAAGAACAGCCAGTGTTCTTAACCGTTAAGCCATCTCTCCAGTCCTCCAGACTGACTTAAAAAAAAAAAATTATTTAAGTTTTTTGAGATAGGGTCTCCCTGCAGCTCCAGCTGGCCTAGAACTGGCTATATAGACCAGGCTGACCTGGATTTCATCGAGATCTACCTGCCTCTGCCTACCAAGTACTGGGATTAAAGGCCTGTGCCACCTCGCTCAGCTTATTTATCTTCACTTTATCTGTATGAGTGTTTTGCATGTATATATATGGACCACATATATACAGTGCTCATGGAGGCCAGAAGAGGGTATTGAATCCCCTGGAACTGGAATTAGTGATGGTTATTAGCTTTCATGTGAGTGCTGGGAACTGAACCTGGGTCCTCTGCAAGAACAGCCAGTGCTCATAACCACTGAACCCAGTCCCCAGTCCCCAGCCCAGACTAACTTTGAACTTTGAAATTCTGATCTTCCTCCAGAATGCTGAGATAACAGGTGTGCACCATTAAGCCCAGTTTCTATGATGCTGGGGATGGAACCCAAGGCTTCTTGCATGCTAGGCAAGCACTCTCTACCTACTGAGCAACATCCCCAGCCCTATTCCAACCTATTTAATGGGGACATATCCTAGCAGGCACCAGGGCTAAAAGCAAGCAGAATGTGGGGGAATATAATGGAATCAAAAGTTCAGAACAAACCGGGCGTGGTGGCGCACGCCTTTAATCCCAGCACTCGGGAGGTAGGGGCAGGTGGAGCTCTGTGAGTTCAAGGCCAGTCTGGTCTACTTAGTGAGTTCCAGGACAGCTGGGGCTACAGGGAGACCCTGTCTCAAAAAAAGACAGAAAAAAAAAGAGAAAAAATGTTCGGAACATAGAGGCCACAGGAAGAGCTACAGCTGGAGAGATTCAGAGGTTAGGACCTGAGGAGAAAAAGTTCAGTGGGTGGGAGGTGAAGGATCATGGGACTTGGAGTGAAGGTCATAAATCCCAAGGGTGGGCCAGTTGTGGTTGTGCATACTTCTAATACCAGCACTCAAGAGGCAGGGGCAGGTGGATCTCTGTGAAATCCAGGCCAGCCTGGTCTACATAGTGAGTTCCAGGCCAGCCAGAGCTATACATTGAGACCCTGTCAAAGAAAAAAAAAGAAACCGCAAAAACCCCTCAAGAGTAAGAGACTCAAAATTATGGATATGTGGGGCTGGAGAGATGGCCCAGCAGTTAAGAACATTGGGGGCTCTCACAGAGGACCCAGGTTCAGTTCCCAGCATCCATATGGCAGCTAACAGCTGTCCTTAACTCCAGTTCCAGGTGATTCAAGGCCCTCTTCTGACCTATGTGGGCACTGCCTGCATGTGGTACACTTATATATGTAGGCAAAACGCTCATACACATAAAATAAAAATAAATAAATAAAAATTATAGGGATGAGAGATCAATGCTCAAGGAGGGAAAGCAGCAATCAGTACATAAAGGTCAGGGATCAGAGGTCAGAGGAAGTGATCTGATACCAGAGGTCAAGAGTCAGCCTCACCTGGTCCCCCTGGCGGGCGATGATGGTGCCAGCTTTGGCGTGATGCAGCAGGACTCTGCTGTTCAGGAGAGAGGGGTCCTGGGGGGCAGGGGAGCAAGTTGAGAGAGATCCAGCCAGGCCTCACATCCACTTCCCCCATCCCCAGCCTCCCAGGGCTGCCTGCCCACCTCAATCCGCATCAGCTTAGCCAGCTCTCGCTTTGCGGCCTCAAAGATGCTGCTGGTCTGGCGGCCTTGGTAGGGCCCGAAAGGACAGCCACCTGTGGCCGACTCGTCTTCACAGTAACTATATTCACACGCACCTGCTGGCTGTTCCCGTGGCTCCTGAGTGGGTGTCTGTGTGAGGCAGAGCTTGTGACTTTCTGCCCTTTCAATCACCCTTTTTGGATGACTTGGCCACTGGAAGGAAGACTGTGGGTTGGGAGAGAAGGAAGGGCTCACCCGAGCAGGGGCTGTCTGGGGTCCCCCGGAGGCCTCTTCTTGCAGGGACACAGAGATCCGACCCCGTTCATAGGCCATGTCAAAGTCTGAACGGGGCCCACCTTGCAAGCCTGTGAGTAGAGGAGGGCAAAAAAGCCTGGGTAGAATTTGATGATGAAGCACTTGCTCAGCATGTATAGGGTCATTGGTTCCATCCCCAGCTCCAAAATAAATAAATAAACAAATAACCCAGTGACCAGAGTTAAGACCAGTCCCAACTTATGCCAATCTGCAACCACGGCAAATATGACTGCCTGGTGGCCTCACTCCCTCTCCACATCTTTCTCAACACAGTTGGGAGAACAGCTCTTAGGGAATACCACCAAAATATTAGACCCAAAGAAGTAGAACTGGTATGCCCATTTTGCAGGTAAGAAAAAAAAAAAAATCAAGGAGGCTGGAGAGATGGCTCAGTGATTAAGAGCACTGGCTACTCTTGCTGAAGTCCTGCGTTCGATTCCTAGCATCCACATGGCAGCTAACAACCATCTGTAACTCCAGTTCCAGGGGAATCCAATGCCTTCTTCTGACTTCCATGAGCATTGCTGGACACAGGTGCACGTACATACATGCAGCCAATATAATCACACACATAAAATAAAAATAATAAATTTGGGTTGGAGAGATGGCTCAGTGGTTAAGAACACCGAATGTTCTTGCAGAAGACCCAGGTTCGCATCCCAGCACCCACATGGCAGCTAACAACTGTCTATAACTCCAGTTCCAGGGGATCCGACAGCCTTTTCTGTCCTCCACGGGCATTGCACGACACAGGTGCACTTAGCTACATGCAGGCAATACACATATAAACATAAAAATATAAAATAATAAATTTTTTTTTTTGGTCTTTTTGAAACAGGGTCTCTCTGTAGCCCCAGCTGTTGTAGACGAGGCTGGCCTTGAACTCACAGAGATCCGCCTGCATCTGCTTACCGAGTGCTGGGACTAAGGGTGTGCACCACCATGCCCAGCC